ATATATTAATATTTTTATTGGTTTCAGAGAGGAAGGGAGAGGGAGAGAGAGAGTGAAGCATCAATGATGAGAGAGAATCATTGATTAGCTGCCTCCTGCACACCCCCTTACTGGGGAATGTGCCCTGAGCAGGAATTGAATCATGACCTCTTTTTTTTTTTCTTAAATATATTTTATTGATTTTTCACAGAAGGGAAGAGGGATAGAGAGCTAGAAACATCGATGAGGGAAAATCATCCACCAGCTGCCTCTTGCACACCCCTATTTGGGATGTGCCCGCAACCAAGGTACATGCCCTTGACTGGAATCGAACCCAGGACCTTTCAGTCTGCAGGCCGATGCTCTATCCACTGAGCCAAACCGGTGCCGGCTGAATCATGACCTCTTGGTTCACAGGTCCACACCAACCAGGTGAAAATGCTCATAATTTTTTGGAAAAGGGAATAGAAAACACTGGTCAAGAAACCCTGTTGTAAGAGAACTATGTTTGTGTTCCTTCATTTACATTCTAGCCTGGAAAATGGTCTTTTGTTAGATGATAAGAGAAAAGCAGAAGGCATGTTCATGACCCTTCTATTAAAGCCAAATTTATGGGTGAAAAGGAAATAATAACTGAAAATTTACAAGAATGCAGCAATGCCGTGTTCCGCAGCGTTTGCTCTTGCTATCGTTAATAACTCTGCGCTGCCCAATGACTGCTCTCATCCCAGGGAGCTGAATGATGGTGATAAAGTATCTCTCCTACATTAGCAATCTGAATGGAGTACCAAAATGTCACTTTGTCAAAGATTAGATGTGGACAGGAGGTCAAAAAGCAAATGCACAATTCAATTCCACTAAAGGTCCCCTACTTTCACTGCCAACTGAAGATAATGGCTAATAGGGCTGAAATTTGTGTAAACTTCCTCAGGCTGCATTTGGAGTTTTGTTCCCATTATATCAAAAAGGTCACAGTACAAGAAAAGCTGAATAATTTCTGTGATGCTCAGCTAATCAAAACTCTTTTCCATAAACCCATAATAATTAAGAGTGTGCTGCCCTGGCCGGTGCTGCTCACTGGTTAGAGCGTGGGCCCATGCACTGAAGAGTCACCCGGTTCAATTTCCAGTTAAGGGCATGTACCTGGTACCTCAGTTGCAGGTTCAATCCCCAGCCATTGGGTGCATGTGTCTTTCTCACATCTATGCCTCTCACTCTGTCTGTCTGCCTGCTTCCTACTAGGGATCGAGCCTGCAACCCTTGACTGGAATCGAACCTGAGTCCTTTCAGTCTGCAGGCAGATGCTCTATTCATTGAGCCAAACCAGCTAGGGTTCAAATGAAACTTTGTTGACAAAAATGGATGGTGGGCTAGATTGGGCCTTCACACTGTAGTTTGCTGAGCAGTAACTTCAAGTCCAAAATCCTGGACAAAATTCAGTAGTGGCAATGGTCACTGTTCATGTAAGTACACATTGCTTAATTTGGTCACCACTTTTCCAGACTTTGAAACTAGTAAGCTGAGAAGGGTTAATGAATAGTGTTGGCCATCTTCCTTTTTCTTTTTCTACCTGATATTAGCCATTGCCCTGGGCCTGCGGATGGTAAAAATTAGATCCAGGCTTACATGTAAAAAGTAGATGATTCTGCACAAGGCTCTGTGTTACAACCCTTATTATCAGCACTTTTCTTCAAGGAACATTGGGTGAGGCATTGCTAAAAACAGAGAGGGATTTTATTAAGCATATGCTATAATTTCTTATACGTTGAGCTCTTTTAGAAAAACCTGCTTGATAAGAGGGTCATAGAGCACAGATTGGGATTCCTCACGTCTTCTAATTAGAATCCATTAATAGTTCATCCCGCAGTTTTCATGAAGGCAGTACCTTTTCTGCATGCACTGTTACCATGACACATTTCAGCACAATGGATTGTAATTTTTTCCCTGGATAAAATTAAAAAATGTCACTCAAGTGTCTGCCTATATGTGACTGTTGTTGAGAGGGTAGCATTTAGAGATGGCAGCAGGCCAGCCGGACTAATCTGGTTGCGAGTGGAGTGGGAGGCTTCCGGCCTGTCCCATAGAATCTCCGGTGAGAAAACGCTAATGAAAAATAGATTAGATTTTTTACCAAGTGGAGCTTTGGGTGTCAGATGCCTACCCTGTACCAGTTCCCATCCTCATTACAGTAACTGTCACAAGAATTGATTCACATCATGCTTTTATTTTATTTTATTTCGGTCCTTATGGAAATTTTATCAGAAAGAAATAAGATCCAGGAGTGTATTATCTGCGTGGTCCCTGGGAACCCAGGGTCCCTGCAGCGCTGAGGTTTATTGTCTTGCTCAGGCAGTCGGTGGCGTTGCTTTATGAAAACTGACGTTCTCAGCTGGGAAAAGCACCTCACGGGGAGAAGGAGGGTGAGAAACTGCTCCAAGGAGCAGGCAGTCATCATCAGCAGAAACAGGAGGCATAATTTATGTACACAAAACGATGCAGGTACTGTGCTGGGGAAACTTTTAAAAAGGAATTGAGATAACAATAATAATAACCAAGAGAGCAGAAAACAAAATGGCCAAAGCATTCTGTAGAGAGCAGAGGCTTCCTACACCCGTCTCTAGGATGGCGTTATCATATGTGGGCATAGCCAAGGCCCTGAGAAGACTCATGTGAAAGAGCCGGTTTAACTTCATTTAACCCTGAGTGTCTGGCAAGTGTTTGCCTGGGATGGAGGCCATTTTTGATGTGTGAATAAGATAGCACAGAATGTGATGTGGAAGAATGATTTGTATGGGGTTCACATAGTCTCACTCTATTAGCAGGAGCTTGGCCATGTTAAGGGTGCTGGTTGTGGCCCTGATCAAAACTCGCTGTTCCAGAAAGAGGAGCAAAGTAACGATATTTACTGAGATTCCGTCCATTTGTTCTCTTTATGAGTCTGTTTCTGTTTTGATTATTTTGTCCTTTAGATTCCACATATAAGTGAAATCACGGTGTTTGTGTTTTTCTGACTGACTTAGCATACTGCCCTCTAGAATCGTCCTTTTTGTTACAAATGGTAAGGTTTCTTTTTATGGCTGAGTAATATTCCATTACACACACACACACACACACAGACACACACACACACACACACACACACACACACACGAGGCCCAGTGCATGGATTCATGCACCAGTGGGGTCCCTTGGTCTGGCCTGTGTGGATCGGTCCCAAACCAGCTCTCCAACATCCCCTGAGGGGTCCTGGATTGTGAGAGCATGCAGGCCAGGCTGAGGGACCCCCACTGGTGCATGATTGGGGCCAGGGAGGACTGCAGAAGGGCTCCAGGGTGTGTCCAGCCTGTCTCACCCAGTTCCAATCAGGTGGACCCTAGCAGCAAGCTAACCTACTGGTCAGAGCGTCTATCCCCTGATGGTCAGTGTGCATCATAGCTACTGGCCTAACCGTTGAACAGTTGGACACTTAACATTTTAGGCTTTTATTATATAACACACACACACACTGAGTGGCCAGATTATTATGATCTCTGAATGCATAATAATCTGGCCAGTGTGTGTGTTTGTGTGTGTGTGTGTGTGTGTGTGTGTGTGTGTGTGTATTAAAGGCCTGGTGCATGAATTTGTGCATGGGTGAGGTCGGCCAGCCTGGCCAGGGGGAAGGGACATGAGCAGTTGGCTGGCCTGCCTGCTGATTGAACGCCTGGTTGAGGGGACAATTTGCATATTAGCCTTTTATTATATAAGCTATACACTGAGTTGCCAGATTATTATGCGTTCAGAGATCATAATCTGGTCACTCAGGGTGTGTGTGTGTATGTGTGTGTATGTATGTGTGTGTGTGTATATACTTCTTTATACAATTGCCTGTTGATAAGGACGCTTAGGTTGCCTTTGTATCTTGACTTATAATGCCCTTTATTTTATAATGCCATGCTATTTTTCTCACTTTAAAAGAAACCTGAGATTCTGAGTGACCAAGTGGTTTTTCCAAGTTATAAAGTACTTTGGTTGTGCAAATAAGCCAGGTTATTTTTCTCCTAGAACCAGGCTTTTTGAACTAGACCAGAGAAGGAAAGCAGGTAACCATTTCCTGGTAAAGGGAAAACCATCCTGGTTTGCCTGGGATCCTGGAATGTGGGACTCTCAGTGACAAAAGCAGGAGGTTCTCAGGCAAACTGGAACCAGTTCGTCGTCTTCCGTTCCTTTTTCTCATTCCCATAATAAAGGTAGATGGGCCATCCTGGCTCTCCTTTCTGCTGAGCCTGCATATGGTCTCAGAATCTTTCCAGATTCTGCGCTCCAGGTGGCCACTGCTGATGGGTGGGAACACGGTGTGTGTGCTGGTTGAGGAAGTTTGGTGGGGAAGTTGAGAAAGGTTATTTTTCATCTCTACCCTATAGTATGCTGGCTCATATAAAATCTGTTACATGTCAAGTAGCCAGGGTGTAATATGCTGGCTCATAGAAAATATTTTGCATATTAAGTAGCCAGGATGCTAAGCGAGGGCTTTCAGAGACTCTGGCTCTGTTTATCAGACTCTGCAATGAGCTGACAGTTAGTGCTTTTTTTCTTTCCCTTTGGTCTAATATCTTTCATTTGTGATCCAAATCCATTCTCCCCTATTCCCAGATGCATTAAACCTGGGCTAGTCTTGTTCTTGTGTCTTATTTTAGCCTCAGCTAACGGACATGCCTTAAATAAGTGATTTACTCACTTAATATCGAAAAAGGTGCTTCTACCCATTTGAAAACAGAATCCGTTTATTGAAGCTTCTTTATAGACTAGAAATATGTTTCTTCTTCCCCTTTTTCAACATGAAATTTTAATTAGGTCATTGATCAAAATCAATATTACAATGGGTAGGACTTAAAACAATGAAGTCCTTCAAGTCCCAGGTTATATGTCACCTTAGAGAGCATTTTTCGATAGTCAGCACTAAAAGTCAGCCCCGATCCTCCACGCCAGTTTGTCATTAAGCATCTAAAACAGAACACAAAAGAAGAGAACACAGCCTTTCCATGAAGGCGGCGCAAAGAAAGCAGTGCCAAAAGGAATCTACAGCCAAAGGTATCGACAGGTCACCCACCTTCCAGTGGCCAAAGACACGGGCTCTGAAGGCAGCCTATATGCCTTTGGGAGAAACAAGCTTGACCACTATGAAGAAGATAGAAGTCAACCGTACACTTGTGTTCATTATGGATGTCAAGGCCAATGAGCAGCAGATTAAACAGGCTGTGAAGAAGCTCAATGACATTGACAGGGCCAAGGTCAACACCCTGATCAGGCCTGGTGAAGAGAAGAAGGCATATGTTCCACTGGCTCTTGACTATGATGCTCTGGATGTTGCCAACAAAATTGGGATAATCTGAATAGAGTCCAGCTGGCTAATTGTAAACATAAATGTTCACTGTAAATAAAAAAGAACACAAATCATAAATGTATAACTATGCATTTCACAGAGTGGCCACAGTATTTTTCTTAAAAATATATGTATTTGTATTGATTTCAGAGAGGAATGGAGAGAGAGAGAGAGAGAGAGAGAGAGAGAGAGAGAGAGAGAGAGAGAGAGAAAGAAACATCAATAATGAGAGAATCATGATCTGCTTCCTCCTGCATGCCCCCTACTGGGGATCAAGCCTGAAACTCAGGCATGTGCCCTGACCAGGAATCAAACCCTGAACTCTAGGTCAACACTCAACCGCTGAGCCACACAGGCTTGGCATGGTCACACCCTTGTAATCACTACCCAAATTAAGAAATAGAATATTATCAGCACCCCGGGCGTCCTCTTCAGGCTATGTCTCAGCCACTGCCGTCTTCAAATTAACCCCTTTCCTAACCTTCTCACTGTGGAGTAGGTTTGCCTGTTTTTGAGCCTTATATCAATGGAATCTTTTGTGTCTAGCTTCTTTTCATTTATCGTTGTGCTTGTCACAGCCTTTTAGGGTATTGTACATAGCAATTGTTCACCTCCCCCCCATTACCTTATAATAGCTCTTATTATGCCATAATACTTTATGCATTCTACTGTTGATAGGCGCTTGTGATAGTTCTAGTTTTGGCCCAGACTATGATATGAAAATTGTGACTATAAGATGATCTTCCCCACATGCATGATGATAGAAAGATATCACATCGCCCTGGGTGATTTTTTTCCCCCCCTCACAATTGCTCATGGTGATTTATTCAGCTTCAAGTCTCTTCTAAGTTTTTCCAAAGAGAGATTTGGCACCAGCAGGTAGTTTGGCCTTGTCTTTCAGACAAGAGGACACTTTGGGGCCATGTTCTGCTTTGGAGATACAGTTCATTCACTGTGTAACAATGGTGAGATGATTGTCATTTGTGAGACCCGTCCGAACTGCACAATGGCTTCTGATTAGGAGAAGACCGAAATCGTTGCTGATTAATGTAACACACCGTGGTTGGCCTTTAGTGCCCCGCATTCCCTTAGAAGAAGGTGGCACCTGTAAAAATCAATAATGCATGAGCCAAGAAAGCTCTGAGGTAGCATTTCTGTTGAGTCCAGATGGAAGGGCAGAATCAAAGTTTCTCAGGTGCCAAGTTTCTCATTTTATTCACATCAAAGGGTTTATTTGGAGCACACAAGTTGTGTTTTCACTATGCCAGCTGTGTGGGCTAGCCAAGAGAAAGATGTCATTTTTTCTACCTGCAAGTAGTTTATAATATCCTTGTGTTGAGACAAGGCATTTAAACAAATACAATTAAAAGACAATGCAGCCCTAGTCAGTTTGGCTCAGTGGATGGAATGTCGGCCCACCAACCGAAAGGTCCCAGCTTCGATTCTGGTCAAGGGCACGTCCCTTGGTTGCAGGCTCCATCCCTGGCCACAGGTCAGGGTGTCTAGGGGAGGTAAAAAATCCACATGAGCACATCAATGTTTCTCTTTGTTTCTCTCTCTTTCTTCCTTTCACTCTCTCTAAAAACCAATGGGAAAATATTTTTAGGTGAGGATTAACAACAACAAAAAAGGCCATAGGTGAGTAGGTTGCAAAGTGTATCAATAGAAAATGTATCAGATTTAAAAGGGGAAAAAGGAAATGTGTAATCTTTAAGGAGGAGTGGATTTAAGACTGGTCCTGATTTTATGTGACAGTGAAATAGAATAAGTATTATAAATAAGAATCAAGACCACTCACTGTTAGAGCTGTTTCTATCTTCCCACTTTTAGGCAAGGGTTGAGTGCTTAGTAGGAAATCGTAAAAATTTTTAAATTGACATCTTGAGTAATTCCTAATGTATATTGTATTCATTACCCCTGAAGGTGCCAGAACATAAGCAGCCTCTCTCTAATGGTGGTATCTCATTTGGCATTCCTAAAGTGATTTTATTTACAACTGGGATATTAATTATCTTCCACGGTGACAGACTCTGAGCCATTCATTTGCGGCCTTCGCATTCCACTAGTTTCCTGCTGTCTCCCTCTGTGAGTGCACTTCTCTCTCTGCAGTGATCTATGGTGCTCAAGAAAGGATTTAAAAATTGACAGACTGGAAGGTACCAGCACCCGGGAGAGTTTATCAAACCTCCAGCCAGTGAACTTGGTTCAGCCAATGCCCTTAAAAGAATGAGTGTCTGAAAAGCTGCAGGGCACTGTAGTGAGTTAGCACTGAAAAACGAGACAGATTTTGAACTGTATGAAATGGACATTCTGTTCTGTAGTGGAAAGTGAGTGTGAGAGGGAGAGAGGAAGAGAGTCGGTCAGTGGAGGAATGAAGGAGCAAATACGAACGGGGACAGATTGATGTAAGGGGCAAGTTTTCCAGGGACTCTTGAAGTCTGTTTTCTGAAGGGTCAGGGCAAGGGAGCAGGATTTTCTTAGATGAAAACCGGAAGTTCTTTTCCTATTTTATTTTTAAAAAATTTTTATTGAGTTTTTACAGAGAGGAAGGGAGAGGGATAGAGAGCTAGAAACATCGAGAGAAATATGGGAGAGAAACATCGATCAGCTGCCTCCTGCACACCCCCTACTGGGGATGTGCCCGCAACCAAGGTACATGCCCTTGACCGGAATCGAACCCGGGACTTTTCAGTCCAGAGACCGACGCTCTACCACTGCGCCAACTGGTCTCGACTCTTTTCCTATTTTAAGGAAAATTAACAAAAAACACCAAAGCTTTAAATAAAATAGGAAACCCCCTGGATTGTTTAGACACTCACTCGTCTGCAGACACAGGGGGCTGAATTACTGTAGGGAAATGTTGGTAAGCACGGACCCTGCATGAGCTGAGTCATTTAAGCTCAGATCTGATAACACATCAGGAAAACACAAGGTGGCAGTTCCAGCTCAGTGTACTTCATGGGCATCATGAAGGGATCTAAGAGAATCAGCTGCTACGTCCTTTCTTCCTGTTGGGGAAATGATGTAAAATACAGGAAAGGCTTTGACCACGGCTGTGCCACAGGGACCATAGCTCAGGTCTCAGCTTAGAGCTCTTTGCATGACACTCTTCTTCCCTTGGTATTGTCAGTTTCAGTGTTCAGGTGCTTTCTGGTTCGTTCTCTCTCAGTCCTCACCCAAGGACATGCTCATTGATTTTGGAGGGAGGGAGGAAGAGATAATGGAGGGAGGAGGGAGAGAGAGAGAGACAGACAGACAGACATAGACATGTCAGAGAGAAACAACCAATTGCCTTTCTGTACCCACTCCTATTGGGGATCAAGCTTAGAACCTAGGTAGGTATGTGCCCTGACTAGGAATCAGACCTGCAACCTTTTTAGGACAACACTCTAACCAACTGAGCCACACCAGCTAGGGCTTTCTGGTTTTCTTCAGAGTCCAATGCAGCATTTGTCAGTGCTGTGTTGAGAGCATTGTTTTTGGTTCACATTGTTCAAATTAGGATTTCTTCCTAATAAGAAGAAAAATGGATTTTAATATATTCTTTCAGCATCGTAATCTTGAAGAAATTGTTTAGATGAAAACATTTAGCTCTTGATGGATGGATCTATTGATATAAATTTATGTATATTATAAATTAAATACATATATATGGAGTGGAGTGTATTAACATTTCAGTTACTGTTTCGGAATCTTAATTTACTCAACTGCAAAATTATAATACTTAACATTGCTGTGAGGTTTGTTGCCTTAAAATGTGTTTTTATTGATTGGAGAGAGAGAGGGGGGGGGGGGAGGGAGGGAAGAAACAGAAGGAACATTTTGATGGAAGGGACACATCAGTCATTTGCCTCCTGTGCTCCCCCTACTGGGGATTGAGCCCACAACCAGGGCATGTACCCTGACGAGAAATTGAACTGGTAAACTCTTGGTGCATAGAATGATGCTCAACCACTGGGCCACACCAGCTGGGCTCTGTCTACCTTCTTAGGACAGTCATCCTCTCATGGTTCCAGCATCTCTGTGGACAGGGCTGTGGTTCACGGAGTAAAGAGCAGATGGACGAGGTATAAAAGAAGAAGCAATAAGATCTTGCTTCTTATTGCCATGCCAACCAGGGCTGCCACGTGGTTTAAAATAATTGGGGACTGGGGAAGTTTGTGTTGTCTGTAACATGTTATGCAAAGACATTAATATTATTACTTAACTGCCTGCAGCTTTCCTGCCTCATGTTGGTGATTGAAGCTCATCCCATATAACTCCAGCTCCATAGGACGTGTCAAGGGTCCTCCTTAATTCTGATCATAGATCACCTTCCTTGTTGAAACTGTAGTCACATGTGAACTGTAATCTGTAAAAGCTGTGACTCTGGAAATCAGTAGGCTCGGGAGTGTGATTTATATTTTAAAAAAATCACCAATTAGGAGAGGTCACAAGGAAACAGAGGCACATTAAACAACGGAAGGCTTGCTATTCAGAGCGTTAAAATAACAGTTTACTATGGATGCTCATTTTGAAGCAGAATTTTCATGACTACCCCCCATGCTCCATGTCTGTGCTGATGTTAACAGATGTCCCACCTTCCAAAACAGAGACGTGGGCTTGGCAGCTTCTCTGCTCCTAAATTTAATTGTGGCTGCAAATGTGATAAAGGAGCCACCTTTCCAACTTTTAATTGGATCTGCTTTTGGCACAGGCAGCCTTCCACCATATGGGTAATGGTGGTGCAAGGTGCTGCCTCCTGCCCTTCCTGTAACTTAGTGAACTCTTGATTATCTGCAGGGGCACTGGCTTCTAGGTGGATCAGTCATGGCTCTTACCACCCCCCTCCCCCCCAACAATCCCTGCACCTAATACCTAGCTAGGCTACCTCCCCAGATTGTCATGTGGGTTAGTCTTGGGAATTGTAAACTTATCTTAATTTTCACTTGCCAGAGCACCAACTATTGATCTGATGCCAATTAACAGTTCCTTGCCATTGGAAGATCCATTGCAAATGTAATAGTCACA